TACTTTAAACTATATAAATAGTTACGTTACACATTTATTGTGTAACAGCCAATTATGCAAATGTCCGGTATGCTCTGGAAAAGTGTTAATGGATTTGTAAGTTGGTTTGTTTTTTAGTATTCACGATATTTCGTCCTATCCATGTATCATTAATCACTTAGTGTCAATAAAATAATTGACGTTCCCGGCCATGTTTTGCCGATTGATGAAGTCGAAAGAGACTGGATCGTTACCAAGATATCTCCACTCTTCACTTATCTTCAGGCAACGTTTATAAATAAAGTACGATTCCATTGGTAAGTGTTATCTTTTCCTGAAATTTTCGCAATTTATAAAACCTAACTACTTACATGCTAAAACTTATAGGATCGAGCATGATATTGAGCCTACCCACGAACGTCTTGTTTCCGAAAACAATAATTCTAACAAAGGAAGGATGAAAGCGGACATAGTAGGAGTTCGTCTGTCAGACAACCGCCAGATTGTGTTCCTAGAGATGAGCGGTGCACCGACTGATTTCTTAAATGTTCACACAATCGGAGACACAAGTAAAACGATTCAAGAGAGAATAGACTCTTTAAATTCTATGCTCTTAAATTTTCTGAACTACGACATAAGATACATGGATAAAATACGCTATTTGACCATTCAAGGAATCAGTGAGTATTATTTTTGATTGACTTTTATTCTGGCCAAAGTTATTAATGATTTTAAGTGTCCTATCATAGGGGACCGCCTTACGCTTAGAACCATTTTCCTAAGGGGAAAGGAGGATTACGCTGATGAAGAAGAATTTTCGGCGATCTTTCCACTTAGTTGGGATTTCCGATTTCAATTTCTCGAGATATTTAAATTAATGGAATATGTAATAAAATCTATTTTAGATTACCCTAACGTCATCAAAGAGTTAACAAAACATCCAGCAAAATCGCCTGAATTTTCCATTCGTCATTGTATTTCTGATTAAATTAATACTATAATATTCACTGCACAATAATAAGCTAATGACATAAAAAGAAATTAAAATAAAGTTTATAATGCAACTTAGAGTTGTTTTATGTACTGCGTCACATAATACTGCATCGACAAAGTCTTGGCAATTAGAAAGTGTTTTTTTTTTTATAAGATCGCAAGCCAATCATATCAATAAAGTTCGCTCACATCGGTCTTAGTATTTTTAATATGCATTTGTGTACCCGATTCTGATATTGCAGGGGGATCCACTAAATTTTGAGATCACAAACCAATTTACATGCAGTGAACATAAAATTAGCATAGCCGAATAAAAATGAATTGGATTTATTAGAGTATAATATTGCTAAATCAGCTAAAATTGATAAAATCGTTATAAATATGGATTTGATAGTAGATGCAATATGGCCTTTAACAAAAAGACATGATCACGAAACACCAGAAATGTGGTGCTCTTGTATTCGTGATCCATTAGAAAAATACTTGAAGAGAACCCAAGAATCCTTTCTAAAAATGGATATATTATAATGTATGGAAAGTTATATGAAAGTGATAAAGTCCATGGACTTCCAACAAATTATATATATTGTAGTGTATGTGACTCCTTAGTTTTCATATCTGAAAATGGTCATAGTGATTATTCCTATCGAGATAACCACTTGAAGAGATGTATTTCTGGAAATACTATTTTGAATGAACATGCGAGAAGAAAAGAAATTCTCCAATTTATTGATAGAAGGGAATTTCAGATCTGGCAATATAGACAACGCATATTACAAGAAGATGTTAAAATTAATCATCTTTATCTAAAGCTTTTCTTCTAATCTACCTTACACTCAGAAAAGGATAAATTGGCATTGATATCATATGATTTTAATTGTCATTCAATTAGCTATGAAAAATATATGCAGGTTAAAGTAACCATAGCAAAAGATATTATACTAAGTGCTTCAAATTTCAAGCCAGCTTGTATTTCTTTATCCTACCAGGCAAGAAATGGTTTTGCCAATTTCTCATCATATGTTAAATCAAAAATCTGAAGTACTAAATGGGCTAACTTCTCCTTCATTGCCACAAAGGCCTGTTGAGTTAATGGGTAGTCTTAAGAAATACCCCATGCAATATAGTATAAGTACACCTGAGATTAGAAATCTTTGAAACAATCAATCAAATATGCCTAATATTTCTAGTAGGATTACTTTGGGCAATCTTACTAAAGCATATTTCGATTCTATATGAAAAAATGCAAAAAGAAAATAGACTTAATATCTTTTAACTGAATATTAACATTATATATCTTAATTATATTTAGCCAAACATAACTTATACTTTATTTTTTTGTAAAATGAATAGCTATATAATCAGCATGCATGATTGGCTAGTATAATTGTGAAATATACCATCTGCAAGATAAAAATGATCTGCCTAGATCCTCTAATATATAATTATTTTAGTGAAGAAAATTGAAGAGATCTTGGGGATTCTTGATTTCTAAATATTACTATCATTATAGCTTTGAAAATTTCTATGCAACAGTTATTCAGTAAGCTTACAGGAATTACAAGAGGAGATCTAAATCTTCAGCAAAATGAATTTGAGAGGCGGTGAGAAATAATAGTACTCCTGAGAAAGAAATTCTTAGATATACTTGGATATAATCAGATGGTAAAAAATTCTGAGATGCAAGAAAAGTATACTACCATAGAGCACTGCATAAGAGACCCCTTTTAATAGTATTCCCATGATAATATACCTGGGTATTTTATTAGATGCAAAACAATAGCTCTTAAGTTAAGATCCAGGTATCAATCAATTTCAAATCAAGTAAATTGATCAAAACCCAGATATTTTATCAATCATAAATAAATTAATTTACATATAATTAATATTAATTGTATAAAACAAATAATTTCATAATTTA